CCCCAGCCAGCATGCTGGCTGGGGAATTCTGGGAGTTGAAGTCCACATATCTTCCAGTCGCTGAGGTTGAGAAACACTGATCTAGTCCAACCCTCGGCCAGGGGCAGGAAAACTATCTGTGGGAGGTGGCTGTGCAGCCTCTTCTTCAAAACATTGGAGAACCCCCCACCTCCACAGGGAGATGATTTACTCTGGCACAGTTCTTACTATCAGGATATTTTTCCTTATATATAAATGGAATTGGGGTAGCTGCAATTTATACCCATGATTCTGGTCCTGGGGCAATGGGGCAATTCTGGTCCTGGGGCAATGTTTATATCTTGCTCTTCTACCTCAGGCAGATTATGATAAATCATAAACACTTAAAATCACATTTTAAAAGTTGAGGTCATTATTAAATTAACTCACATGAAAAGGTCTCTCTGAGCTTCTGAGCAAATCTAAAATTATTCTGCAGTTGGGGGCAGTAAGAAGGGGTGTATTTCCAGTGGATATTCATCCCACCTGGATTTGCTGCTATTATTCCACTCCTGGGGTTTTTCAGAGATGGGGATTTTTGCACCTTGGAAAAAGCAGGATAATGGGAGAAGCCAAATGATGCTGGATTTGCCCTTCTCAAGTTGGAAGTCCCCCTGAAAAAGGGGAGCCAGCATGTCCAATGGCCCTGACGTCGCTGTCGGTAAAAGTGGTGCTCCACATTTTTAAACTGGGAAACAATGTATATTTGTTTGCTGGTGGGAACTGGCCTTCATTCCCTCTCCAATGCTGGCAACAGTCAAGCTTTGCTTGGTTTTTCTCCTGCACTGCCAGGCATTTGAGAGAGCACTCACCCTGCCCCAACAGGGTCCATTTGTCTCCTTCTTCATATCGTTAAGCTGACACAAGCTAATAAAATCAGAGAAACTTGGGAAGCCTGAGGAAAAGATTGCAGCAAAAGGACTTCAGAACAGGTCAGAAGCAGATCCTAATCTCTGGCAATGAGCTACACTAAAATTCTCTGCACGTGACGGCACCTGACTTACGCAGGATTGGACCTGTCAGAACCTGGATGGGATTCCCCCAGGAATATCAGAGCTTTAGACTACGGCATATTGGGAAGTGGGAAACTCTTTCCAGAAGAACACAAGCTGTTGCCAAGAAAACAATAGATGACTAAATAGATAGATACCGTGGATGGATGGATGGATGGATGGATGGATGGATGGATGGATG